TTTATAATATTTTACTTTTATTAATTTTAATGTTTTACCTACGTGACTTTACCGGAAAAAACCTAAGAATATGAATCCTTGCAGTCACGAAAGCTTCAAATCTAGAATTAAAAGATTGACATACATTCTGAATTTATAACAGATTTTTCGCAATTAGTAATTGTAATTTTTAACGCTCTAATAACGTGCGTTGGAGGCCGGCGATGATGACTTGTGACCCAAGGTTTTGCACGCCAGCCACCGACCAAGACCATTCCTAATGGGTTTTAGCTCAGCAGCTTTGAAGGCAGCTGCGACAGGGTTGAATTTCACCGGAGCAAAAAGTGGGGAGGGGGGGGGGCAGAAAAGAAAAAAAAACACGAGAAGAAAATTGCTCTTCAAGCTCATTGCTTTAAGGCATCAAATGAGCCTCTGCAGACTCACGAATTGGGTATTTCTGGTAACGGCCACGCGGTCCGAAACGCAGCGGCTCCGGTTTCTGCCGTCACTCTGCTGTACAACAGCAGCTCCTGCTGCTGTTGGTGGCGATTGAACCTGACGGGATGTCTACGGTCGCGAGCGCGCACGGTGGCAGCGGACGCTTTGTCGTTTTAAATCTCGCAGCTTTCCCGCGGCCGTGTCACTCTTGACCACTGGCTTTCTGGGTTTCGGAAATTGTTGTTGAACGCTAAGAATCCTCAATTGTGCCGATTTAGTCTGGGTTTCTGCGAGCCTTATTCCGTTCTATTGCGTTCACGTGTGCACGCGCGCTCGTGTTTTTGCACGCTTGTTTAGGTGTCTATATCCAGTCATTTCAATTCTAAACAAGCGGTGACATCGTAATGCTGCCAGGCTTTTGTGACGTCGTGCGAGTTGGGATGTCACAACACCCCATGCGGAGTTGACTCACTGGTGACAAATGCTGATTCGTACACTTGTAGACTAATTAACAAAGATATACCGACAAGAAGCCAGTTAGCCAAGTCAGCCCTAATGGAAATCAAGCTGTACAGCGAATACAGATGAAACGGATCCTGTTTGTTCAATTGTTGAGTATAACGTTGGCCAACCGATGTCAATGTTTTATAATTAATTGTGGCTTCAAAGGACCACATTTAATGTTAAACGATCACTCTCTGCAGAAATGCGAATTTGCACACTCATGAAGACCGACAGGCAGACAGCTATCATGTTGTGAACATATAAATAATATATATACAAACACAGACCGTGTGTTGTTTGAAGTTTACCCCAGTACAGACTACATGCAAGAATGGCGATTTCAATTTGGATACCCAAAGCCTCATGGGATTGTTGTCGTATCCTGCCGTTGAAGGCACCTTTTCCTCGTAAATATTAGGCAAAAAGCTGCAACTATCAACAATTGAATTAATAGCAACGTTTAATGAGCAGGAGATATGTCTCCTTCACGTATCCATCTGTCCACGTAAATAAACAAATGTGCGTATTTCACAACCCATATGCCGCACAGCCTTCTGGGAGTGCATCATTTCAGCAGCATTGTTTCAATGCAAGCAAATTCTGTCAAACTGATCTGTTGATTGTTTCAGCACTAATATTATCAGGAGTAGCTTTTATAGTTTGTTTCTGTTAGCAAGATCACATTCCAGCCAGCAAAACACAAAGCGTTTGAACATCCGTATCTTTAGATTCAAAGCTTTCGTGACTGCTGTCTTTCTGTTTGTCATTCTTTGGAGGAGCGTGGTCAGCCAGGTGGCGTGTTGGCTGTTGTGTTGGCCGGCTCTCTGCGTTGTGTTGCATTGTGTTTCTAAGTTTACTAGGTTTGTTTTTTCTCATTCATGCTTACCTGATGATGGTTGATTGTGTTGCAATCGAAACGTCGTATTCTATTCTCTACGTAACTTTACCGAAAGAACCATAGAGTAATCCGTATCTTTGTTTATCTTTTTTTACTATTTCCTGGAGTTTTTTTCCCGCATGAACTCATGCAAGTGAAATATTATTCACGCACTCTACAAAATGGGGCACATGTTGATTTGAGTATGAATATCTGTGCAGAGCATTCCATTCCATTAATCAAGGACCCGCACTGCAAATATTTGTGGCTATGTGATCACTCTTTGCTCTGTAAAATGGATTGCCTTGCATGCTAATTAAAGTGAGGAGTATAGAGATGCCAGTAGTATTCTTTTTAAAAAATCTATCTCCAAGTCTGTATTGTCAGAAGATGGAATGGGTACACTTCATTACAGACAGTTTTGAATAATTCAATATCTGTACAACGGAGGCCTACGTACAAATGTCACATTCATAGTCTAGAAGCCGATGATTTAAGGCCTCGCGTTACATTTAGCGGCGACTGTTTCATTTCCGCGAAAACAATTAACGTGAAACGTTACATGTAACCACGAGCATGATGATCAAATACCAGTGTTCAAGGGAATGATGGGCTACCTGTTGGTCTGCCAATACGACTGCCCATCCATCCAAGGACACGTAATACATTTCCTGTACAACAGCAACCACTGCAGAACATATCACATCAAATCGTCCGTACATTTGGTATACGCGCCCGTTCTTATCGGGCAAGGCTGTCACGTGGGTATGGTCTCTAATAGTTGCGGGAATTTTTCAATTTTCACAAATTGGGACTGTGACGCCAGCCAGGGTGCACGTCACGTGACCATCCGCGTCAACCGCGAAGGGGACAGTGTGCACATTAATTGCTGATACACCCACAGCAGTATTAACCAGGTCAGCCTTTGGGATTCACTCATGAACGAGCAGAAGATGCGCTGCCGCACAGCTATGCCGCGTATCTTACCGACACCAATGCCTGCAACTGGATGTTGGCAATTCAATAATAGGGTGTTTCCGTGCAGTCAAATCTCTGGCCAAAATGCAAGGCTCCCTGGATGGACTCCCTTGCCAGTTTGCAGAGATCATTTGCTCCTCTTCGATTGCGTTGTGTGTGTGTGTTGCATATATGAATAAATAAATGTACTTGCGTATGTATACACGACGTGCTTAAATGCGCGTCTGCACGTGTATAATGGGAGTGTGCGATGAATGTATATATATATATGTCCATTAATGCGTAACATGAAAAAATATCACCACATCTCAGAAGCTCACCGGGGTTGAGCCTTGTTAGTACGTACACAGGAGGCTGTGTGGAGAGACCAGGCGTTGTGAGCTTGCAATGCAAGGTGGCCAGGTTGGTTTTAATTCATCTTAGTGCAGTTTTGAGTGTTACCTCCTCGTTTGCTTGGGTTTTCTCCATGTACTTTGATTTTCTCCCCACAAGAGGCCAAACGCTGATTAATGGAATTGGCCAATCATCCCGATTAGATGCAAGTCTCCTGCAAAAAAAGGGGATTGTGGTTTAGTGAGGCTTTCCTCAAGAAATACGTTAAATTTGGTATCATTAGCATTAAATGTGCCTGTGAATGTATACATGCGCGCGTTTGTGTATTGTGTGTGAATACTGTGCTGCAATTGTAGCCTTGTGGTATGACCAATAACCCCTGCACGGCAGGTTTACTCGTTCATTAGTTCAAATCTACCCTCACCCCTACCTCCATCCAAGAAGACACGTTTTTAAGTCCGTATCTTTATTAACGATGCATTTAGAAAATGTAACATCAAAATATTGTCGTTTACACATAATTACGTAATGCATTTACATTAATTCCAAAACTGACCAAGACATAATTGAGTAGAGCACCTTGTGTTTACTTTGAACACCATTTTATGGGCATGCAGTCAGTCATTGATGACCGGCCTCAGACTACTACGTTATCTACGTTGAGAGTACGGATTAATCACGGTTCTCAGATTGCAACCCACAATTTCAGCGGTGTCGGCTAAATGTTAGTTTAATACGCAGACTTTCGCGACCAATATTATCCGGAATATAGCTTTTATTATTATTATTGGTTAGATCGCGTAAATATAAATGTGTCGCTAACCCCGCCACTACCCAACACAGCCAATTAGTAAGGTTTGTCACGTAAACAGAACGTGCCAATTCGTTACTCGTACAGCACACCGGTGTGTTAGAGAGTAAATCCACAACATACAATCTGAGTACGACTTTCACCAGTAATTACAACTAGCTTCATCAGGCGACAGCCAGATTTGGCTACATGGTCTGACAAGTCTCCTGGCTCACCTGGAAAACCCTTTGTTTAAGCGTTTTTTCTTCGCGTCACATTAAATATAAAAACCGATGAATATTCGGCAGGTGTGTGATGGCGCTTGCCTCCGAATGCAGTGCTTGGAATGTGGAGGTTGGTGGATGGCAGTCATAGATGTGTGCCAATATTCGCAAAGTGTTGGGCTATAAGGTGACCAGGAGATGGCAGTAGAGCAAACTTGTTTTCTGATTCATATTTTAATTTTTAAAAATTAGACTGAATATTGAGTCAAATGGCTTCTCGTCGTGGACAAATGATAGTCATAATGATTTCAATGTTGAGTAGTCTTTTCCAAGGCTGATTGATAGTCTGTATGTGGTCGATAGTAGAGAAACCTTTCATAATTTCGACCGGCTCACACGGTTTGTTGGTCTCGTAATTGTGAAGTATTCTGTTCTAAATGCCCATAGTGAACATTTTATAAATGGGTGCCATAGGGTGCTAATGGTTCTGTATTTTTAAATCAGTTTTTGAGGTGGAGCAAGGAAATCTGTCCATGTGCAGGAGCTGGATAGATCGTTGTGATTTCGTTACTTGGGAGAGGTCTTCATCTAGCAGTAGATAGAGCAAGTGCTGCGATGATGAAGATTGGACCGTGATTAATGATATTAACGATGATGATGGCTTACCAAGGCAGGCACTCGAGCGGCGCCCAGAGGTCGTTGGCCAAAGCCACAACGGTGTTGATGACACTTAAGAACAGACCTTGAGGGGTCAGGGGTCATCCGCGCAAATTGATCTCACAGAAGGAAGAAGGCAACGGTGACGCGCAGGGGCATCTACAACAAAATTGTCCGAGCCGACCTCGTGACCTTGACCGATCTCGCCGTCTACCCACAGTTCCGCCGGTGACCTCGGTGAGATCGCCGCTCGGCAGCGGTCGTGCTTGCGCCAGCGACGAGAGCGGAGCGACCAAGGCGACCGTCACCAGTCAGCCCAGCCAGGCCGCTGCTCAAGCCCGGACGGGCCGGACTCAGGGGGTAGCCGCTGCAACACCGGACCGGGCGCCGAGAGCCAAGCCACAAGGTGAGCGAGGACGCTGCCGAAGAGCCCGCGAATAAAACCTCCGCGCCACTTTGCGACGCGCCACTCTGCGACGTGATCACATGCAGAGGGGTGAGAGGTGTTGGATGAAGCCGGTTAGCATTATATAGGAGCCTGATACAGAGCACAAACTGTTACGTGGGGTGGCGGGGGGTGGGGTGCAGATATTCCGTGGGCACAAGTTCCCCGAGCGTTGTGCTCCTGGATTCGGAGGATGCGGCAGATCGGGCTCGCAGCTCTGGCTAGCGTTCTTGAACGTAAGCGTCGGAGCCTGCAGGGCTCCTGACATTCTTAATAAACGCAATTCCCCCGTGGGCCACGGGAAGGAATTTTTTTAGACGTGCCGAGTGCCCCTCCCCTCCCACCGATCTCCCCCGGGGAGGACGCGTGACCCACAATGTGTTTACCTCTTCTCCGCAGCCAGAAAGTCGAGTGCTTGGAGAGGGCTTCGCCAACCCCCCCCCCCCAAAAAATACTTTCAATAAACCTTGAAGCTTGGCGGATGCTCTTGCGATTCCTAAACCTGGAATCGCGCTTCCATCCTTAGGGTTGGATATACATTATACGTTTGCCACAGGGATTGCCCGGCTCTAGACGACAACGTGGTCGACTAAGCGACTAAGCGCACAGCGACTGCACCATTCCTCTCCCGGAGTAAATTCGATCGTCATGAGATGGCGCAAGCGATTGAAATTTAGAAGCATTAATTCAGTTCCGTCCTGCCTTGTTTAGCGCCTTTGAGTCTGTGCCGTCTGCTCTGTCCAGCGGCAGAATTGCGTGTAGGCGCGTGTACGCGGGTTGCGTACAGCAAGAACGTATGGGAAGGAGTCTGTGAATGTCACCCAGGGCCACGGGCAAATCGATCACCAAACCCGGGTTTGTCTGTAAAATCCCACACGTATTATACATATAATATAATTCATATTATCTGTACTGTCGGCTTATCTCTACTGTTCATAATTACCATCTGCATAGCATCATCTGTACTATCTCTCACCTTGGTTATATGTATAGTGCCATCTGCTATGTCTATATTGTTTGTAAGTGTTTGTTGCCCTGACTTGTGACATCGAGATCAGAAACGTGGACGATCGCAAAGGCATTAAAAAAATGGACACAGGGTGTGCAACCAAGCAGAGGGGGAGGATGCATACTTGCAATTGGACTGAGACACGGAAAGAAGAACGTGCTGATGAGAGCACACATTGATTGTTGAGCTCAGAGATTGGGTTTGGGCCGCACATGCCACGAGAAGTGACGCTGGCCCATGGTTGAGACCAACGACGGAGCAGCAGCTGAAGCGATGGAAACGTTGCCCCCAAACGGAATGTTCGCCGTGGATATGAAGTGACGTAATTCAGCCGATGTGCGGGAGCAAGACGGATCGGTCCACCGCGGCACCACGAGAGATAGCGACGGCTTTCATCCAGCAGTGAACAGATCGTGGCCGATGAAGAATCCATGCATCAATCCATGCCAAGAGTCCTGCCGCGGTCACTCCGGGGCAATTTCTGCAGGGATGTTTTTTGAAGTTCACGTTGCGTGCCAGTGTTATAGACCCAACCCAAGTTGTGAAATTATTCATGACTCAGGGGGTAAATTATTTATTCAGCTGGGAGCCACAGTGGCAAAAACGCTCAGCTCGGGATCAGAAGCTTGCCAGCTGGAACCCTATCGGAGGGCGATTCTGCCTGCCGGCATTTGCTCCAAGGATAGACCGTTCCTCGCCCATGTTAATGGGGAAAGTCCATTCAGTTAAGCACAGGGACCAGCTGTCGTGCATTGGTGCTGTGTCGCACTCGCAAAACACCTGCCAGGGGCTGCTCCTATACAGCAATGGCCATGCAGGCAGGGTCACAGCCGCCGTAGGTGTCGTGCGAGTCTGTACACACGTTTGCACGGTTTTGCATGCGGCCAAGAGAATTGACATCCACCAAAATTGCGCACAGCAAATCACGGTATTTTTGAGTCAGCATTTTTTTTGTCCCCTTCACCAAGGTGTCATAAACGCTGATTGCGCTGACTGGCGGGACCTTTAAATGGCACGGTGGTGCAAAGGCAGTTGGCTCAGTCCTGAGCCAGGAGTCAGCAAGTTGCATAGGTTTAATTTATCAGACTCACGATCACAATCTATATTTAGACTGCAACAGGAAACTGTTGAGCTATGAAGCGATTTTTTTCCACAGATGTCCAGTAGGCATGGGTCAGCAAGTTCCAACAACAACAACAAACAATAACAAAAAACCGATAGGAGTGCAAAATACAGAAAAGCAGAACTCCATTTAATCAATGACAGTGGGGGTGCAAACTTCACGAAACCTGTCTGCCACCCGGCCTGCGGTTGTGTCTCATGCACCCTAGGTCTCTCCCCTTCGCAAAAGGGGATAACGAACACCGCGGCTCTCTCACGGAGCCTCGCGCGACGGGCATCGATCAATCGGACCGGTTGATCGTGTCTCGAAGACGAGGCCCAGTCTCGCGCATCCCTTCGCCCCAGACGCACTGTGCCGCTCGCGCGAACAAACCGAGCGGCGCCGCTCGAGAGGAAGTGTGCGGCCCACGTTGTCGTGCGCCGCGCTGTGGAAAGAGAGGAAGGGAGCTCTGCGTGTTTGTGGTTCCACCGGCAGCAGCGGCAGTGGCGGCGTGCACGCACGCACGCACGAAGAACTTCCTTTGTACACAAAGGCGCAAGGCTGCGGTACGATTTCCGTACGCGGAGGGACAACACGTGTGTGTGTGTGTGTGTGCGCTGACGGTTAGGCGCACGGCCGGACACGGCGATTGGCTGTGCCTGAGGCCTTCTTCTCTTTCAAGGAGGCATTTGGCATCCAGCAGGCATTTATATGTATAATTTAATAAGTAATAATTATCATCTGTAACGTGCCGCACAGCATTTTGCTGCGCTCTGAAAGAGAGCGAATGACTCTGAGGCGCGAGGACCCACAGACGGGCAGGAAATGAGCCAGTGCAATATTCCCCTCCAAGCTCTGCAGTCCTCTGTAAATTAAGGTGGTATTGGTCAAGCAATGAACATGTGCGAGGGGGCAACATTGTACCCCATACGGATGGAGCAGGTGGAGTCCACATTTTGCCGTACCGCCTTTTCCTGGCAAGCCATGTTATGGTACTTGTGTGCCTACGGAAAGTAGTGTCACAACATTTGTATGAGCCACCAACCCTCGTTGCCTCCACAGCGCTCAAGTATAGGCGTGTATAGCCACCACCGCCTGGCTAAATGTACGTCTTACGTTCAGACCAAATGAGACTGGATGACCGAGGATGCCGATATGTTTACCCCACAACCTGCTGCAGTGGATTCAGTAGAATGCCTCTCATCTCACCTTGTCTGCGACTCCCTTTCACCCTCGACTCCTGCTATCCACGGCCCAAATCGATCCCCCCCCCCCCAAAAAAAAATACTATCTGGCAGGAGGGAGCCTTCCTATTCATCTCTGCCGCAGGCAAGCGGCAACATTCTGGGACAGTGGAATATTCCTTGTGCCATTTGCATTGTGAAAAAAAAATGAGACGTACGTACGCATATGGGTGTTTTGGCCAATGGAATAAAAACTTTGCACCTGGCTGGCACACGCATGCGGAGTCCTGCAGAAGCGGAAATAATGGGCAGAGCCGTGCAGCCGCGGACGCCCAAAGACAAATGTCCCCCCACGTAGCCTTCCAGGGGCTGTAGGGGCGAGTGCTGTTATGAGCGCCTATTAAAGGCCGACACAATGCACAAGCTCGGCTTGACTGTCTCCCGTACCAGGAAGGACCAGTTCAGATAATTGACGCTGACATTAGCCGCGGCCAGGAATTGAACTCGGGTCACCGGGTTAATTTGCGCAGTCCGATAACCAATAGGTTATCGATAACTAAGACACAAAGATCCCTCTTATAGTCTTAACAGACTGTTGGGGAAAGTGCTGTTTGTGAGCGCCTTCAAAGGTTGGAATGGTACACGAGATACAAAGATCACCCATATTGCCTTAAAAGACTGTTGGGGAAAGTGATATTTGTGAGCACCTATGAAGGCCGGAAGGGTACACGAGGGGGTGTGTGGCCAGCACCATGCCCGACCGCCTTTGTCTCCCTAGTGACAATGTTTACACACCTGCCAGGATACTCATTTGAGGCTGAGTCGACCTAGGAGAGGCCCTGGACCTGTTCAAATAATCGTCAATGGTGTTGGCCGTGAGCGGGAATCGAACCTGGGTAGCCAGGTTCATAGCACAGCGTGCTAACCCCTACACTACCGCTCACACTAGATACACACACTCACGTAATAATTATAAGATCACAGACACGTACGCGTATACAATTGAAGCCACACACATGCGCACACTGCACATGCACAATTAGCAGGGCACACACGCGCACACAATCATTACCATCTCACGCACATGCATAATTGACAAGATCACAGTTACACACACACACACTTACGTCATTATGAAGCCACATGAACGCAGGAAATATTCTTCCACCGTCGTGAGCACACAGACAAAGACAGATACTCGTCACTGGCGTTGGGTGCGATACTCGGGTCGCCGGGTTCGTAGCGCAACGCGCTAACCGCTACACTACATACACACACACATATGATTATGAAGCCAAGGACAGACACACACGCACGTACAAGACTACAAACTACAGACAATGTTCATGTGCCACAGTCTATTGGAAAGGCCATGCTTTAATTAGAGTTAATAAATGCAAAGAATCTCCCCGCTCAAGCAAGCGTTTCGCAGTTCTCAATAAAGAACCTCATGGTGGGACCCCGGGGTCCCGAATAAACGGGTTAGAAATCGTAATTAATTAATTATTATTGCCGACTCCGTCCCACCGCGCACACAACGCTGCGACCCGCCTGGCACGGATCATTCTGTTGTCGCGTCGTCCAAGCGCAGCGGCGAGGACGGATGCGCAGAAGAAGCAAAACTTTGAAACTTTGATTAGCGCATCGTGTAGAACTCGTCGATAGG